ATAAATTAAAGTGTTTACACAATCTCACTTGAATTCTGAAGCAATAAACTATTTAGTTTTCATTTTTATTTTCTTAATTTCGATTTGTAAACTTAAAAGTGCCACGTAGTGGAGGATGTTACGCGTGATGTGGCACATTGATGTTGGACGTTCCATCAGGTATGCGGCTATTGCCATCGGAGTTCCTTACAAAACTCTATAAAACGTCGTTAGACGTTTTGTAGAAATTGGGTCCTACCATAGAAGGCCCGGCTCTGGACGCCCTAGAGTAACAGAACCACAGATTTTGAATTTGAGAATTTTGCGAAACCGGAACCTTACAAGTTCAACCGATTTATCAGCTCCAGTTCGGAGTATCCAAATTTCTGAACGCAAGATTAAATAAATATGGACTGATGGCTTTTAGCCACGTAAGAGGACCAGAATTGACGAGAACACAAAGTTGCACGGCTCGCATTTGCCCGAGAACACAGCCATTGGTCTTTGGACGATTGGTCTGCTGTACTTTTTACAAATGAGTGTAGATTTGTGACTAAAACCTCGTCTATTAATCCCAGCGTGGTAAGTGGTAAGTAAACAGAAGTCCTAAGACAAATATTTATGTGCGAATGAACATTTTTAGAACACGATTTTTCAATGGGGCGAGATCGGGGCTATGTAAAGCTTTAATGTTTTATCAAGCCGATTGGAAGATCTCCAAGCAGAAAAATCCCAATTATTCGGGTCAAGGAAGCGAAGGAGGAAGGAAAATTTTCAAAGCCAGAAAAAGCTGGCCTCAATCAATCTAACATAAATTAATCATTAAACAAGGTTTTGAAACTATGTATAGACTATTGGTTTTGTCCAAACAGGTCCGGCCTTTAATGCGAAAATAATTCAAAACACAAAAATAGCCTAAACCAACCTATGATCGATGGAATTGTAAATAATAACAGTACCCCCAATATCCCATTAAATTGTGCCTAGATATTGATTAAACCTTTGACAAACTATTTGACATTTTTTGTTGAAGTTCACAACGATCTGCTTTTTAAAAAGTGTAGTTTTGTGGGAATTCTGTCAACATCGAGATTGTTAGGTTTTTATTTTATTTTATTTACTTACGAGGGTTCACAACAGCAGAAATCTATTACTCCTCGAACTGCCGTGTTTTTGTTTTGTTTTTTTTAAATGCCCATTTGAATGAATGCAGGGCCGCAGGATTCGAACCCGGGACCTTTATCTTACAGTGAAGAGCGCCGTGTGAACGCCTAAACCGTTGAGCCACCGACGCCTCTCTGATAGTATTATATACCAAAAATTTATGGCCTGTTTAGAAGGAATTATCAACAAAACAACATTTTTTTGAACATCAGCTTTCGGTCATTTATCTGTTTTTAAACTAAGATATGTAACATATAAAAACGGCAATGTTGATGGTACAAGGAGCGAAACGACTTCATAAGTAGTGTGTGCTGATACATTTTAAACTAGCTGTAAAATATTAATAAATATAATAAAACCGTTAAAAAAATGGAAATCTAAATCGTTGATAAAGATTCATGCTGGTAATTATTAATTGACAGTTAACTCTTGAGATATATATGAATAAAACGATGAGATTTACGGCATTCTACTCCACTATAAATGTACAGTCATCGATTTTTTTTTTACCACGACAAACTGACCTCCCTGTATAAATACGTCAAATTTGAAGGATTATTATAATGGCAATTGGTTGGGGGGCTAATTTATAGGCATGTTTTATTATACTTCATGGACCAATATATAAATGTTTGGGGGTGTCGATGGCCTAAATGGAAGGTTGACACGTCACTCGTTACTATGAGGTAATGAAATGTATTCGAAACGGATGTACTTAGAAATAGGCTTTATTTTCAAAAACACCTACACCCCGAGGTATGATATAATTTCTCCTGTTGCGAAAAAATAAGTTTCAATAATTGTTCTTTTCACAAATGTCCTAAAAAGGCCTATTCTTTAAAAAGACATTCTTTATCTTGAGTTTGCCTTCACAAATTTGGTCTTCCTACTTTTTGTCCTATAGTGTATAAGTTATTTAACGTTCCTATTATATGTTTTTTAATTACTATTTATCAATTTTTATAGCCCCAGTGAATTTTGTGATCATTATATGTGGAACGCCTTTGGATATTTTCGTCTTCACGTGTTTCACGTTATCTCGGTATTTTGCTGACATCCCAGCTATAATGTAATTTTTACAAATAAAGTTTTTCACATGAAAAATGGCAAATGATAACAATTTTTTTCTGTTGGGAGTAACTAATTATTTTATTTACACGCGTCTTTATATATTCTGTAATCTTCCAAGTATTTTTAGTCTGCCCTCTGTGTCAAATTTATTTCAAGCCATGTCGGCCAGTAAATAAACCTCTTGTTGACTTTGACCTAGGTCAAATTTGTCGAAATAAAAAACACCGGCTGCCAAGATAAAAATCAAGCCAGTCGGCCGAAATCAGTTATGGCCACGTTGAACACGGTTTGTTAGGTTTCAGACATTGGTCGTGCCATACCAACGGACATCGGAACGCGCTTGGTCGCAGTCCAGACGTGCGTTTCCTACGGGTATTTTTTAACCAGTTTTTCACGAAAAAAAACGCTGGCAAGAAAACAGAAAATATAACTTGCGTCATTATTTAAAACATATACATGCTCACAGTGCACCAGACTAAAGTAAGGCTCATCCCCATTTTTCTGAACAACTACAACAGCCAATTTAATTATGTTATTGGGTTGGTCCAAAATTAACGCAGGTTTTGAAAATTTGTTTTATTTTTGCAAATTCTTGTTATGTAATCTAAGCTAAATCCTCAAATCTAATTTTTGGATTATAATAAATACTTTTAACTGTTATATTTTATACAAAATATTTTGGTTTACATTGAATTTTATAAGATTGAGGTCCTGCGAAATTAAATATGTCCAAACAAGATTTTCGTCAAATTTATTTGTACGAATTTGAATTTGAGCGACGTGCGGCCCAAACCGCGCGTAACATCTATACAGTTATGGTTTCGGAGATTTCGTCTTGGAGTTTTGATCTCGAAGATTGGAAGGTCGCAGGTAGGCGTTCCGTTGTGGACAACGACCACCTCAAAATGTTGATGGAAGAAAGAAATTGCGGAAGAGCTTACTGTTGATCACTCAACCGTTGTTCGCCATCAGGAGCAAATTGATAAAGTAAAGAAGCTCGACAAGAGGACACCGCACGAACCGAAGCCCAAAGAAATCGACGCTTTGAAATTTGCACGTCTCTTCTGCTGCGCAATCCAAAATGATCCATTTCTCGATTGAATCATCACGAGCAATCATCAATCATCATCCAGAAATGGATGATGTAAGATAACAAGAGGTGTATAGTGGCTGGACAAGGATGGAGCGCCAAAACACTTCCCGAAACCGAATCTCCGCCCAAAAAAGGTTTGATGGTGTACTGCTGGAGTTGTTAAATACAATTTCGTAAACTATGGTGAAATTATCACAGCAGAGAAATATGCCAAGAAATTGACAAAATGCAACGTCTTTCTTCAGCAGCGGTAAGTGGTAAAGGGCCGATTCTTCTTCACGATAACGCCAGGCAATGCTAACCCTGAGGAAACTATAAGCACTTAGAATATGAAACCTTACCGCACCCTCCTTATTCACCCCGACCTCTCGCCTACAGACTTCCACTTTCTAGTCATTTTGATCACTTCTTGAGGGAGAGAATGTTTAGAGAATGCGAGATTTTTATGTCAGCGGACTGCCTTTTCAAAACCTGCATTATTTTTGCACCAACCCAATATTTAGAAAGCTGGTAATGGTAATGGTATACCACATAACAATAATGTTATAATGTATATAATTTGTACAGATGGTAATAAAAAATTAATTTTAAAAAAATTGTAAATATTTAGGATACTACTTATTAATTTATAAAATAAATACAATTTTATTAATATTTTGTAAATTTACAATTACCTTTTTAAAACCTGCATTATTTTGTACCAGCCCAAAATTTAGAAAGCTGGTAATGGTAATGGTATACCATATAACAGTAATGGTTTTTGGCTCTCCTGAGGATGTATGCAAATGATAAATAATATTGTATCTAATTAAATAATGTATATAATTTGTAATATGGTAATAAAAAAGTAATAAAAAAAAGATTTTGTAAATATTTAGCTAACTATTTATTAATTTATAAAATAAATACAATTTTCTTATTATTTTGCAAATTTTCATTTGCTATTTCAAAACTTGAATTATTTTTGCACCGGCCCAAGAAGTTATTTATCAAGGATTGCATGGTATTTTGTTGGTTTCGCATTTGATGTTTTTATGTTTCATACTTTTTTATTAAGTTCAGATAATTCATATTCTTCATTATGTTGTTTTTGGCATAAAAAGCCTTGATCTTCTGTTACCAGACTTTGAAGGCTTGAACGAGATTTTGTTTAAGTTTCGGGGCGGACAAACTAAATTGGTCATCGATCTTAGCTTGACAATTTCTTATCTTTCCCGCGTTTTAAATTTGCTAATTTCTTTTACTGATTCTCCAGCCATGTTATATTTTATATTATGACGGTAGATACTAGTCGGCCAATAAACGAATAAACCAAAATACAAACTGCAAATCATCATGATGATAGAAGAATATATATTCTTACTGTTCAGAATGTTAATTTGGGTATTAAAAAAGCGCATAATGAAAAATCTCGGCGTATATATTGTACCAGAAGCGTGTTCTGCTCACATGAACTTTATTGATCGATTGGTTTCTGTATACATTTCGTTCATTTGATAGTTTTAAATGTAAGCTACTATAGTTTAACAAAAGGTTTATTGTGTTTAGCATACACCATTGAAGGATGTAAATTAACGAAGTATTCAGTTTAAATGTATGTGACAGTGCTCGATTCAATCGCTTTGTGTTCTTGAATCTTTTGATTGAAAAAAAACTCCATTATTACAGAACTAATGTAACTATTGTTGCTTACAAGAAAATGAATGGATACCAGAACAACCGCCTGCGTGATGTTGGAAGGAGCGAGACACAGATCAGACTGCGGAACAAGCGGCCAGAACAAGTCCCGTGTGTATAAAAATAAGGCGAATCGGACCCACGCCGCTCCTTGTTCCAATCGTATCTATTTATAAAATCATACTGTTTATTAACGGGCTGAAGTGCGGTGACGTTTTCCGCACTAATGAAACCGACAGGAACAATCCAGATGGATGAAAGCTAACTGCATTTCGCGAAGGGTAGAGCCCTCCATCTAAACCCGCTCCGATTGTCCATCCCTACGGAGCTGAAATCCCGATCTCTAGGCCGTAAACTGGCTCGTGTTGAAATGAAAGTAGTCCTTTTCAAACGAGCACTGAATAAACGACTTGTACTCTCAAATGACATATATCATTTATACTTTCTGTTGTCCTTTTTCATTACCAGTACATCACAAGTACTTCTAATCACGAAATCCTGCCCAAATAACGTGCAATGTTTGTAAAATATGGACTCAAAGTCGGAATTAGACGTCTAACTGTAAGACGTTAGTATCACCTACTCCGGTGTTTTTGACAGACAGGGGTTAGACTACTAAAGTTAAGCTGGGGGAAAGGAACGCTAGTTCGGCCCTCAACTCATACTGTTTTTGACCTATATTCACACTCTTTCTTAAATTTATTGTGCTATATAGTAAAGCAATACTTGAGTGAACTTACCTGTGTTCGAACTAGAGAGGTGAGGGTGGAAGAGGTCCTGAAAATTCCGCTTTCGGACCTCTCACAACATTCACGCTAGTAAATACATTATTTTCTATTAACATACTGTTCAATAAACTAGGGCTATCTCAATAATCCTCCATGACACTACACACAAACAATTTGTTTTCCTTTTAAGGGGGCATACGTCAGCTCGGTCATTTCAGCTCCGAGCACTTGCGAAATATTACAACACACATCCAATTCACACAAATAAATACATTCACACCTATATACATTGCATTCATTCTATTGATAGATGGAGTACTCAATATTCCTCCATCGACCTGTATAAATTAACGAACTAATCTAATTGGGGTCGATGGGGTACTTTTATAAATATTCCGCCATCGACCCAAGTCACGTACACATCTCGAGGGACAATGGGGATGCTATTCCACCATCAGTCCCTCCCTATTCACTCTTATAACTACGCTCACTCATACAAACACAGCAACACAAAACACATATTTGGTGGCTATATACAATAAAAAATTCCCAATTCCCCTAAAAAGCGGAACAGGGGTCCCTGCAACTCGGTACCGTGTCTGAGAACCATTCTTAAATCCGGCGGCATGCCTACACGCTCTCTGTATGGAGCCAAGGCATGACACGCCTCCATTATGTGGGACCACATACAGCAATCTTTCTCTGCATAGGGGGCACGTTCGCGGGCTTTGACCCAACACACAAACTATTCTACTAGTAAATGAGGGATCATGGAGTACTCGATATTCCTCTATCACCACATACACAAAAATCTAAATACATTGGTTCGTGATTGAAGAAGTTGAATAAGATTTCGTTTTTTCGAAAACTATACAGGGTGTTCGGCTACTCGTGTTACAAACTTTGCCAGTAGATTCTACATTCAAAAAAGAACCAAAAAGTCCTAATTAACTATGGTCTGAATCTCAGCAGTCAGACTTATTCCACTTTTTCTGATTTTTTAAGATTTCACGACCTTACTTAAAAAAAAAAATTATAACTCCGTTGATTCTATTGAAAACTAGTTAACGTTTAGTATTGATCACATCTTATTGGAAATTTAACATAGTTTTCAGTGGTATCAACGGATTTATCCAAAACGTTTTAGTTTTGGAGTTATTGTTCAGTTGAAGCAGAGTCGTGAAATATTAAAAATCAGAAAAAGCGGAATAAGTCCGAAACCGCTGAAATTCGGACCATAGTTAAGACTTTTTGGTTTCATTTTGAATGTAGAATCAATGGGCAATTTTTATTCCGAAATCCGGTATTCAGAAACGGTTTTTGCGACTAACTTGAGAACGGTCGTCCTAAATGAAAAACTGGTAGCACCGTTGAATTCGGCGTCAAATAATATACAAAAATGAGTATCTTGCCATTTGAAATTGTTAGAAGAATAGAACGGAAGTAATATTCACCCCGTATAGTAGAAAATCCCTGTTTCTTCTAAAAATTGGACCATGAGATCCAAAGACTCGTCGCTCAAGAACAATCATACTACTCATCTGGGCGTAGGATCCAAGAAAGGATACTCTTACATTATGTTGAGATGGCTTGCTGGGAAGTTTACAATCGCTTTTGACTTTATTCAACCAATTCGAATTATTATTTATGTGAAAACAATAAAATCTTTTAAATAAATGTATGGAGTGAATGTGTCAGTAAAAATAGGAAGGAACAAAATTGTATTCCGTTTTAGCTCAGAAGAGTGTACCATTGAGTCTGTTGAAAAGGAATCACAACGAGAAAGCTAACACCTGTTAGTTTCGAAATAGCACAACAGACATCTATTATTAATATTAATTTAAAAATATCTTATGTTTTAAAAATAATATATAATTTATGAAGAAAACCATAAATAGTGCGTTTATTAATTGAAACTATATTCAGCTAATTTGTGAACGTGTGATTTAGTTTTGTTGCCTAACTCAGAGGTTTACGACCTGAAGGCGACACATTTCAGGCCTAAAATTAAAACAGAATCACAGTTTTATTTTTACGTTGTAAGGATTTACAATCGGCTTATGTTATCGACGGCGTTTCTGCGGTTTGTGATCCCCACGTCATCGGTCATAGTCGGAATTATCGACGATGTCACCCACGGCGATGCAGGTGCTGGGACCGCAGATCCCGGTGAAAACCACTTCCACGCCATCTAAGCGAAAGGATAAAAAAAAGAAAAATCAATACAAATCTCAAATCGCGAGAAAAATGTTTTAAAAGAAAAAGTCAGCTTGTTGAATGATTTCGTGTCATGGTATTAAAAACATCAGAATAAAAAACGCATATTTTATTCTTTAAAATAAACTTATATCTAACAAGGTAAAGCTACACAATATGCTAGAAAATTACAAAATTATTTAACAGGTAAAATGTTTTCATAGACGTTCCCTCGCAGCAGGCAGCCTTCAGAGTTGCAAATTCCGGAGAATACAACTGCTTCTCCTCCTATGAAAAAAAATCTTAAAATATTTAAGTAGAAACTCTTAAATATATTTGTATTTTGAAACTGTATATCAAGATTTTCGCCAATGTTATTAATTTTTCACTTTTCTTCAAGGAAATTATTCTGACTGTTGTTGGTACAACTGTTTCGATTAAGAAGAATAAAAATAAACAATGTGTGATGAATATAACAATAAATGTCTATTCACTAACATTATCAAATCCTGTACTAAAAAAAAGTCACAATACCACCCCTCATAATTTACGTGTTTACCATGTCCTAGGTCACCGATAACACGCAAAAGTAAACATCTTATAAAAATATCCGTGACTACACTTTAAATTTATACAGATTCTGTATGTTAGATAGCGATGTTACCTAGTTGGAAACACTCTCAGTTCTATTTTTTATACGTTCTTGACAGATTTGTGCCCACCACGTCTCGCGTTTTACCCATTTGTACGATTAATAAATTTCCACTTAATTTCATTCCCATCTTATAGTACAATATAAGTCTTACTCCTTAAAAAAAAGGACACTTGTATTTTGTTGTTTATTTCAAACTATATGTATTTTTATCGTTGTATTATTTACAACATATTTATTTTAATATCAACGTAAATTAAACGTGATTAGAAATTCATTAGGTTTAATAAAAATTGATTGTGATTGTTTGAAAGAAAGGGCCTAAAGTCTCCGAGACATCGAGTAATGGCCAGGTAAGTTACACTAATCATGGTTTAAACTGGGTTTACTGGAAACCTCCTTCACATTCTGAACCAAGTTCAAAGAAGGGACTGTTCTACGGAATATTGCGGCCTAATGGTAACACGTCGATTGTATGAGTATATAACACGATTAAATGAGTATACATAAGTATAAGTATAAATAAATACGCGAGAGAAAAATCATTAAGTTATATCGTAAACGAAATAGAAATTGCCGGATCTTTTACTGCTTAAAATAAAAAGACGATTAGAACTATTTATAAGAAAGAACACTCATAATTTGCAATTTTTTGGAAACGAGGAAACAAAAACCGATTCAATTCGCATTCAAATTTTGCTTATCAAAAGTTCAATCTTTAACGCTTTCTTGCCAGTCGTCTCTATAACTAAACTCACAGGATTTTCCGCTAACCTTTTAACAAAATTGGTAAAAAGTTGGACATAAAGGGTTAACAAGATAATGTACGTATGAAATGGTATCAGGTATGAAATGAACTAATCTTTATGTAAGATCTGATGTAAGGGTCTGATTACACGACATTTGAAAAATGGCAAAAAAGGAGGGAAAAATCGAAAGGTAGGATGAAGTGGGAAGTTGGAGTCCGAATAAATCGAAGTCACGGTAGCTCAAGTGGTTAGAACAGCGGCGTATTGAGCCGAAGGTCGTGTGTTCGAATCCCGCTCGTGACACTAACTTTTTCATTTCAACCAATACCTTACATAAGATTAATTAATTGAAAAAAGTTATTTGGTCAATCGGACCACGAAATATAATGTATGAAATGAACCTCGAAACCTACAGGACTAACCTACGCTTGACGGTCATACATAGTGAACAGGTTTATCTTTGAACTCGTTCAAGATAAAATGAAAAACGGCAATTTTTGATTTGAACTCGGTTCAGAACTAAACTGAGTTTAAACCAAGTCGGTGCAACCGGCTCTAAATATGCGATCAGATTACGTCTTGTGAAACAAAATCTCATTCAACAAGTTTCAAACTGTTCAACGCTTGGCGAACAAAGTCTAACCCGTCTCTTTATCATGCCCTGTAAGTGTTTTTTATTTATATTTAGTACATTACGGGGGGTGACCCCCCCAATCAGTGCAGTCATAGAAATAAATTTATATTTTTAAAGATTAAGAGAAAGTTCATTCCTCAGACACCAAGAGACAAATCTATTTACATCTTCCTGCACACGCACATTTTCCTCAGCATTATTTACAATGGCAAACACTTTTATTTCATCTGCCAATAGTAAAAATTATGAATCTTTGAAAAAGAGGACACATGTTAAAGAACATTAAAAACAAAATTGGACAAAATGAGATCCTTGAGGGACACTAGATGTTACTCTAACGGTTCTGGAAAGTTTACCTCTAAACTTTATATTACGATCTCTTTTGGAGAGATAGGATCCAATCTAAGCCAAGAAACTGCCACGAAATCCAAACTGCTCAAGCTTACCCAAAAGCAATCCATGGTCAACCGTATCCGTTCGGTCAAGCGAAAGCTTAAGCAATATACCCGTAAACTACGTCCACTTGCTTACTATTCTCAATGGAATTAAAAATGAATTCCTTGTACGTTAATAGGTGCCATATTTGAGGAAAACTTTTCAGATACCCGTGTGTCGTCTGTTCTTATTATATCACCATTCTTCATAGGTAAGGGGTATCCTTTAGTGTATCTTTTCTCGTTGATGAAAGACCAGAAAGATCTGATATATGAAGTCTTAGCTTCAACACATAATACATATTTATTGTAATCCTTCTCAACACCCTCCTTAACAAAAGCACTGCGTGTTCTATGCGATACATGTCAGGAGAATGTGCTGGCCAATTCATTGTAGTAATCCACCCTCCAAGTAATGGTTGACAACTCGAGCTAAATGCGGTCGAGCATTATCGCGCACTAGCATGAAATTGTCCTCAATAAATAGAGCGAATGAGACCACAGCTTCCAGAAGAACTTTCTCAATGTAGTGCAGTTAAAGAGTCATAATGGGCATGGACGTTGGTTCCTCTCCATACCATGCTGATTACCTTTCTACGCGATTCTGCAGCACTACTGCATACAGAGAACCTAATGCTGAACTTCTAACGACTAGGTTTTTCTCACGAAGCCTTCTGATGTCTGTTTTTCTTTTTGATTGAATCTTTAAGAACTGATTTTCTTTATGTTCCATTTAAAGAGTGTAAAATGGTTAGTAACTCTTGAAAAGTAAACAATAAGTTATGAATATTTTGTTAACGCTTTAAGTCAATTATTAATCTTCATAGGTGCCTAGTTATTAGGAAAATAAACAAATATATACAAGAGTTTTTGTTTTGTCTTTGAGAGTATTGTAAGCAAGTATTGCAGTTATGCTTCTTTCTGCGTCAACATGTTTCCTAGGAAATGCTGAAATGAGTATTTATCATGGTCTTATCATAAATGTTACCCAAAATAAAATAGTTTTAAAAGTACCATCTTTAATAGACACAGATTGTGTATATTATCTGATTTTATGCAGTGGAAACAGATTAATTTCTATGTTTTACGTGCTGTCATTTTTGTATCGGTTACATTTAACATTTTTGTTCAAAGACCGTTCATCAATTTCATTCTATTTTACAACACTTGTAATTAAAGCTAATTAGTTATTAACGTATTTTAATTACGATTCTAGGTATTTAATTTACAGAATCGAAATGCTTTCGAAATGATCAACAATTATTACTGAAGTCACGAGAAAACATGTAGAATTTTTTTAATCTGAACTACAAGACCAAATTTGACGTTGTGTCGTGTTTTCTCTTTTCGTCTGGCCTATCTTCATCTTTTGGTTGTTACAAGGTGACGAAATTGTTGCGATTATCTTACAAAGCAGGATCACATCTTCTGCCCACGTGCTTTGGCTTCCGTTGACGGATTTGTAAATCACGGCCGTTAATGTTACAAGATGATAAACGCTTCTTGATAAAATTGATAAAATTTAATTATATTTACCAGAAACTGCTTGTTGCTTTTGCAAATCGTTAAATTTTTGAATATAACCTTCCACCCAGTTCGTCATGATTTTAGTAAAATTTATTTTATTTGGTGGGCAAATATTTTGATTGTGATAAAGGTGGTAATGTCATCTTTGTAAATATCTTTGAATAGTAGGGAATAAAGATATAAGAAAACTTGTGTGTTGGATGAAAACTGCATTCATCTCATGCGTTAAATTGCTTTAATTTAAACAGAACTGAGTTCCAAGATTTATCCAATCGTACGTGACGTGAAATCGAGGTTGACGTTGTTTTTAACTGTACGTTGATATTTGACGACTTGAGGTGCAGACGTAGAAAGTAGACTAAGCGTTTTATTGATTATGCAAATAAACAATGTGAACAAACTTTCTACAAAAATGAAACATACTTTAATTGCTATGGCATATGACCAGGAAAGTTAAAAGTTCCTCAGATTGGAAAAGTTCTTGAAAGATCGCTTCCCGCGAGTTAATCATCTACCTTGGCCAGATGATGGTCAACATTCAATTTGGTTTCAGGATAAATCACCAACTACATTGAGTAGCAAATCAGAAACACTGGCGAGGAAAAACGTTTCTACCGAGAATACAACATACAACTTGCTGACGACAGCTTTGAGCCATGCGACTTGTAATCCGAGTGGTATGACATTTCAAGAAGACCCCAACCAAGTGGGCAGGATACCCTTTATCTTTGTAAGCTTAAAATAAATCAACACTAAAATTGTGAAAGTTCTGTATAATAGACGAATAACAGCTCACAGTTTAACCTTCACCAGTATAAACACACCAAAGGAAATACAGTGACGTATATTCGGTAATGGATGCCAGTAATTATTTTTAAAAAAATCAGACACCCATTCTTAGTAATAGGAATGACTACATAATCCGGAACAACAACATCACTTTACAACATCCTTTGTAAGTCTAGTCACGTCTCAACAGACTTCAACGGAGAAGAATAATTCAGGAGGATATCAGATACAATGATATCATATACAGGTGGCTCCAAAACACACGAAGGAGCCGGACCAGGCATTTTTTCTACAAGCCCAAAATATGAGCAAGCAAACTCAATCGAGAAGTACACCATGGTCTTTCAACAGGAAATACATCAACGCTTGTGCCTTAGAAAATTTTAAAAGAAGTTACACATACAAAAAAAATCCTCATAGGATCGAACAGTCAAGCATTAAAGAATTAGTTGGAAAAGTAAATCACATCAAAATTAGTCAGTGAATGCATTCAAAATCCCCAAAACCTGGGGAAGCACAATAACCTGATGATATCTTGGGTACCAGGACACAAAGAAATTTTGGGTAATGAAAGAGCAGACACACTGGCCAGAGGAGGATCAGCAAGAACATAGGCCTTGAACCTATTCTTGCGATAGCAAAATCAAACGCTGAATCCTCGGTCACAGAGGGGATCCAAAAAAAGTTAAAAAAAGAAATGGATAAAGATGTGCTAGTCACAGTAAGCTTATGTTAAAAGAAACTCACTGCTACAGTTAGAGAAGGCTAAACTCAGAGGAATGATAGGACTACCGGTCACTGGCATCTGAGAAAAAATCAACACAATATGGTACATTCAGTGATAACCCTATTTGTAGGTTATGCAACAAGGAGGAAGAAATAGCCACCCATAGCATCTTCGAATGCAAGAATCTGCTCATTGGAGACAAAACCTGGAATGCAAAGAAACCGCAGGGAAAGGAATTGTAGCAACGACATTTAGTGACCTAGTCTTAGGAGAAGGATCGAGTCGATTGCTCTGAAGGAACTACGAAAGTTCAATAAGCCAGAAGGATGCTTGGGATCAAACCCCCCCACTTCCTAATATCCACCACCATCATCATTCTCATCAACACACCAAAGGAAAATAGAGTATTTTGGATTGATAAAGGACTCCAAACTCACATGGAAAGTGGTTGATGATCTTTAAAACGACACGGGACTAAAACACATCCGAATGTGACTTAAGCCAATGTTAAACGATTATAGCTAACCGGTTGTTGCACTCATGGGCATTTGCCATCGAAATTAAGGGGTCTGCTTCTGGTACACAATGGGCGCATGTTTCCCTGCATTTATGAACAAAGATCCTCAGGGACGTCGAATGAAAGTTACACCACACTAGGGTTGACTCGTAAACACTGAGAATGAAACAGAGACAGAAGTAACCAATTTTAAATATCTACCGTGATAACTTTTGTTAGCTATTTATTATTAGTATATTTTTATCCTTAATGCTAAACCAAAATTATTCCTAATTGATAAATGTATTAATACTAGTAATTGGAGATTCACCATTGGGCCGCAGTAGTCGAATTGTTTATTGAGATGTACTGTGATTACGTTATTGGGTGTAAATAAAAATAGAAAAAAACTATATCTGACCTAATGATTCGATTGTTATTCTAGAGATATTAATCGTAAAATCCACTAAAGTGGAAATGAGACAATTAAACAAGAAAGTGCTTCCTACCCCCACGACCATTGGTGAACTTGCGCGAACAAATGCGTAGATTACGAACGATTTACGTTATCGTGGAACGTTGACGGCTCTAGGTCACGGCCGGGGAAACGCGACAGAATGAAAAATGAAAATGGTCAAATGTTTTATTTACCTGTGTCTTCTCTTTGCGGTTCCTGCCTGGCATTGTTGAGGTTGTCGCGCTGCGCGTTCGTCCCTGCGGTTGTCGTCGCCCTTTGGGTCGTCGGTCTGACAGCGGATCTCGCAGTAGTGGTGGTCATATTACTGAAAAACCAATTAGGGGGTAATTTAACTAATTCTTCGTGATATAAGATGCACTGAAATGGTTATAAATAACGCTGACAGAAACCGAACCCTTCTATGTGGCAAGAGATTCATCCAATCAGAGAAAATCCAAGAATGAAGAGTGAAATTAAAGAAACGAGGTGATTCACTCACTGGGCATAACAAATCAAAGAATTTTCTTGCAAGACTTGAATACAGAATATATGAAAGAAGGGTGGGAAAGACTCAGAATCTTAACTAGGACACTGCAGAATCAATGGACATCAGGAAAAAAATTACGAACCTGAGGAAACCAAAAAGACACATGCACATACACACCAGACTGTGCGATACATTTCTCCGCAGTAGTCCACAACAGTTGTTACTGGGACTATTTATCAAATTCGTCGACGAATTAGGGCAGTCATCGATGCATTCTACAAGTGATCAAGGTATGCAACAGCTCTTAAAGAGCACGGTACAACATAACTCTGATAGCTCCATTACATAAACACATAAAAGGTTCTGAAATTAAATACACGGCAGGTTGATTTAACGTCAATTAATTATGAAATATTTTCTAAATCTATAGCTTTCTTGTTAGGATTTTGATTCTTCAAGTGGGTAAAAACGAGCTAGCCCGTTGAACCAAACGTCCGATAATTAAAGGTTTTCCTGCTCTCAGAGTAACTTTGCATAACAACTGAAAAAATATTTATCTAAGGATAATACTAAAAAAGGGACAATAGTGTCAGTTCATGTTTCATCTTTATTGACTTTTTAGCCACATGTGACAGTGTCAACAGTATACGGATATGATGGACATAAATATACCAACCCGTCGCCATGTTCACCATTATGTTGAGTCGGGCTCAAACGAAGGCTTTCAGTAACAAAACCTAGGCATTGGTTGTGCAGCCGGTCTGTTTTTTAATCTTTTAAAGAATAATTAGAATATAATGTATCTAACGGAACCATTTTCATAAATCTGTCCAGTTCCTTTGACAGGTGACAGGCCTTTGGGGATGGTTTACATTATAGCAAGAACGATGGATATTGATAAAGAGCGCCTTCGTTAATATTAAAGGCATGGTGATTCATGAACAACAGTTTCGACAGATCCCTAGTAATTTCAAAAAATAAATCTCTGGTAGCAAGATAAATAATACTGACGACACATAAATGCTGTTTCGTCTTAAACAAACACTTTAAAAGCAAGTTGTTGACACATGCTACAAAGCTAAGTGAAAAACTGGCCTATTTTAGGGTACGCTTCAGAATCCTGGACCCTCTCCAACAAGGACGAACAGCGCCTTTTGGCGTACGAGAGAAAGACGCTGCGCAAAATCTGCAGTACGTGAAGCTACTGACGAACTTCAAATGACAACTTGAATTAAGTTCAGCAGACCGAGATGGGCTTTTCAGGTCATAAGAAGTTTAGAGTCATAAGGAGAACCAGACAATTTATCTCCCGATTTGTACTTGAATACTGCAAGAAGCAGGAGCTGGGGAAAAGTTTCAAGACCTTAATAATATCGCTGTACCCCCCTGAATAAAGATGAGTATTTCAATTCAAATTTAAAAGCTAATATTCAGTTTCACACAGCTTGTTTTCTTACGTGTACAAGTTGAACTTATTCCAATAAATAATCCTACGTAAAATGTTCCAATGATCACATCTTTTAAAAGACTCTCGAATCGTTTCAAAAAGTTATCACGTGGGCGAATTTTATAATTAAAACAAAAAATTAATGTTTAAGGTCTTGGTGGTTGATGGTGGGTGGGATCCTATTGAATTACATCCTTTATGTGCCAGGAGTCGGACCTTGTCCTCCACCTCTCCCACATAAGACAAAGGCAATGTGCATTTATATATTTATGTTTTGTGACTCCTTGACATACAAATTAATTTTTTCAATATTTGATTCAAGGTCTGATATTGGATCGGTAAAAGGATACATAAGAAATTTCTTTTTGGTACTTTCATTTTATGAAAATATTAACTCTTTTAGGTTTTTCAAGTCGATTAAGATTTAAAAAAAGAATTATTAATAATATTGCATGAAAAGCTGAAAGGGAGGTAAACTTCCATATGGGAAAGTCAAGATATTGAGAAATTACTTTTCTAACGGGTACTTTTCGGGAGTTTTTTGATCTAATGCGATCTATCCATAATTGGGCAGAGTTAAATGCTTTTAGTTCGCTTTACAAATGTAATAGTTAAGCACAACGGTAGAAAGAAAAATGGTTGGCATAAATCGATCGTTATTACTAATGCATGTCTATTAAAACGTGCCGTGTGTTTTTCACTACAGTTCCTTTTTTAAAACGCTTCACTTTTCCAAATGTTAAAAGGGTTCATTAGTTTATTTTTTCAGACGTCACCTGTGCGTTGCAGTAGTAGTCGGTCCTGTAGTCGTAGCTGCGTTGGTAGATGACAGGGGAGCTCTTGTCGTAGAATTCGCAGGTGCCGAGTGTACACCGAGCACACAAATCAGCAGAATTAGGCAAACGACATCTTGAAAGAGAATGTTAACATGTTAAAAAGAAAGGACAAACCCTATTTTTCAACTCACTCATTTTCAGTACAAACTCCGGACTCGGCCTTCTTACAAATACGAAATCCAACTCGAACTAGCTTACTAAATACCGTTTTTATCTGCGGCCCTTATGACACCGGGAAATTATCTCTCTTGCTATTTTCTTTTTTGGTTTTCGGAATCGGAACAATTTCACAGATAATATTCACCTTTGCGCTATCGTCTCTGCTAAGGCCTTGGCTCGTTTACCCACGTACAAACGCCATTCTGGAAGAAAATGCGTTCTTTTTGAGGCCTCGAAAACTATAAATACTTAATAATCAAATAGAAATTAATAATATAGGTGCACCGTAGTGCAAAAGTTCCCGTTCTTCCCTCCCACCCTACAAACCATCCTTAACAACATTGCATCAATTATTTTAAGTAAGTTATTCTGATATAAACATGTAATCTGTTCGTTTTCGATAACTTTGGCCTGCCCGACCTCGCTGGGTTGTCATGTAAGACGTGTTTCTACATTTCGCTATCTTCAATAAGTGCTATTTGGGTATACCAAACCGGCGATACTAGGCAGACCCAGATGATCAAAGAGTCTACTATGTAGTCACATATTCAGTACGCTTTCGTCTTCTAGGGAAGTAAATATAATAATATTCAAAATTCTACAGTAACCCCCTCCCTCCACTAAAAAGAAAAAAAAGAAAAAGAGAATTCTACCACTATTTATTATGACGTAAAATTTCAAATTGTAAATTGAGTCAACCGATTCAGTATGTATTGCCTCAACATAAAATCCCATTTATATTGAAATATTTCTAGGCCCTCTCATTTCTAGGGTTCTCATAAACGTCCTGCAAGTTTAAAAAAAAGGCTTAAATTTTAAGAAAAATGCACATATAAAAATACACTATGGCTTTTCAAGCAACTCACCTCTCAAATCAAATAATACAATAATTCTTTTTTCAAAAAATGCATTAAGCACAATTTCACATTTAAATTAAAGATCTGCTCCCCAAGGCTAATATTTCTAATTTTTTAGGTGTATGAGGAGCAGTCAATAAAAAAACACACATTTCTAATATTTCTGTTCATAATTCAACAAAATTAAACTAGGTAGGCATAAAATAGGATATTTCCTCTAAGTATCTATAGCACCGACTTTGATTTATAATGGTATTTATGTAGAATTAGAATAGTTCTATGTTTTTAGTTCTTATGTGATGTAACAATGTACATATGCTGTTTTATTTTTTAGATGGGTTTGCAACATCAGAAGTCATATCAAACCGTGAGTGCCAGGGTTTTGAAAAAATCCCATTTGTAAGTATGTTGGGGTTGATGCAGCCACTGGATTCGAACCCGGGGCCTTTTCCTTACAGTGATGAACGCCTTAAATATTGCACCCACTGATACCCCTTCTATATGCTGTTAAAACAAAAAATAAAGTTGATTAAAAATAAAAAAATAATAAAAGCCCCAATCGCAGTTTCATCACCTGCCAAACCCCAAGAAAAATCTCACAATTTTATACAATTATGTAATATATTATTAAAAAAACATTATTTACAACCATAACAATGTTTTTGTATATAATTGATTATATTCAAATTATGACGGTATCACTTAAACTTACTTTATGATCTTCCACCTACTGAGTCAGTTGGTTCCAAAGGTTCAACTTGTAAAGATATTTGTTAATAAACTGTATTCGAACTGTGCTTTTTTGGACACCTTGTGTAATGACTACTTCAAGTGTCGACAAGGTTAATCATCTATGTGTATTTTAAGTTTTACGGTCTATTACTAACTATGCCTAAAAATAAGATGATGTCGCCCCAAGGAATTGGTGGAATTTCCTCGCTACTGGTGTTTGATCCAAGTGAAGAAGACTGGAACGCTACAAGAGTTGTGGAACTTGACAATCCCTTCTCTTATATGGTATAAGGTATCAGAATTTCAGAAAATGGTTGAATTTTATGTACTTCATCAATAGAGAGGTGAAGGACTGGATCTTACAAGTAAAAAAGTCTGCGTATGTGTAAATTTGGAAACATTTTAGAGGAATATGTTAAAAATCACTTTTTGGCTGGATTAATTCCAGGCCCAATCCTGACATAGTAACATGAATTTTTTTTCAAACTCCCCCCAGGTCCTGTTAACTTGTTAGTTGTTTATTTCTCTGTTCTATAAGTTATATGAATTAGAGGTTTCCATAAAATGGTCAATTGTACAGAAAATCTGTATAGTGGAACTTCTGCCCCCATGTGGTGTCATAATGGACTAACTGAACCATTTGGTCCTATATGGGCATCAAACAAGGGTGCCGGTTAAGCCCGCTACTTTTTGCACCTTTCATTAATGGCCTGCAAACTCCTCGGATGGCGGAGTTAATATCGAGGAAATCGGATTAACATATTAGCATAAGTGGATTATTTATTTATTTTGGCATCAGATAAAATTGCTCTCCAGAAAATAAAATTAAAATTAAATAAAAAAAATTCCTTTGTTTTATTTTACATTATATGGATTTACTTTCTATTTTTAACACATTCGTATTAAATAATACAGTATTAATTTATTACAATTGTATTTATTGTATGATTATTGTAAAATATGAAACTGTTGCTAAAAGGATTGTAAAATTTTAAGGCAATAAAATTTGATTCAATTTAAAAACTTATCAAAAATAATAGTGTGATATTAATATTTTTGTTCTCCTTGATATAAATACTAGTTAAACCTCATACATAAAAAACTGATATATGTGAAGATAAACTTTTTAGACTCTAACCAGTCACAAATTGTTGATAACAAATTGATAATTCTCATTGTGTGAATAACCAGTAATAATATTTGAATGAATTTTGGCTGTTTCCAATCATCGCGGTTCACCTAGTCTTGCTAGTTCAGTCGATAAGTTGGTGTGATATTTTTCTTACCAGTTGTGCCAATTATAATTGACACTAGTACTGTACAATTCTGATAATGTATAGCAACAAGGGAATGGGTTAATTACAAATTATAAAGTTTTCAAAGTATCAGGACTGCGAGTGATCATGGGTGAAAAACTGATCAATTTCAAGTTTATTAAATTAATAAAAAAATGGATTTTAAGAAGTCTAAAACTCGAAAACAATAAAAAAAAGTGGTGATTTGACTGTTAATCGAAAATTATTCAGAAATCGTGAGATGCGGTCCGGTGGAGCGTGGAGATGTGGTCTGCGGACCAGACCGCATCTCACGATTTCTGAATAATAAAAAAATAAAATAAAATAAAATAAAAATAAATAAATAGAAAGTTATTACATTACTCTTGAAACTAATTTTTAAAATTGTATTTGCAGCCTATACAGATTTGTAGATATTATAAATGTGATCACAGTATGTTTTTCGCACTGTCACAGCACTAACACTAGTGCCAGCGCTGCGCCCGAGGACACATGCCCGCCAATGCTGACACTCAGTGTGAGTGATAAGGGACAAGTGATGTAGCTTCCAATTCATAATAAATGCTGTTATTGCATTTACTCTACAATGGTCGACCAGTCCCAGGGGTTGTAGGCGAATTCAATAAAACTTTTCCCGTTATATCATAAAACAAGGCAAATGAAAATAGAACATGCTTAAACTAGTCTTTGTGGATCAATATGGATATTGAACGAGCAAAGGACTAAAATAATCCCCCCTTGATTGTTTTTGCTTTCAACATGTTTGTATCCAATTCGGTTTTCATCAACAAATATACAATACTGTAAAAAATGATAGAAAATAAAAATTATTTTTGTTTATAATTATTATTTTATTTATTTATTTGTTGGCAAACATCTATGGCCATAGCTACACTGCATTTTCCCCTTTTCTACATTTTTTCCTACACATCGTCATAGATTAGCAGTCACTAAAGGGCGATTTACGTTGAGCTGAAATGTGGGATACATTGAATATGTCGCTTCTCTCTTCATAGACGTGTCCTCTTACATGTGGTGACGGGACTTAATTCAATCAGCATTATTGCAACACGCACACAGAGTGTAAAGCAAAAATCTATTCTATACCTAACCTGACTAGTTTGACAGATCTGCCAGGTACCCTAAATTCCACCACAGACCAAGTCCATCCACGCCACTCATGCAAATAAATACTTTGTCAAAGATAGAGCCTTTCAAGCCATGTGTACAATTAGAAATTGGGGAAGCACCGGGGTATTGATAATCAGCCAATATCTCACCCTCCTATCAGCCCCATTCACTACACAAATAGACACCTAACTAGTTTGACAGGTGTATGGGGTACTTTTTATTCCACCACAACCAGTCCATTCACACTTATTCTGTGTACAAATAAATACATTTATACCAAGAAAATACATAAAAACCTTGTGTGAGAGGTTATATATAACCACTTACATTTATCGATTTCAGATATTGAATGAGTTTATCTTCATGACCACTGCTGTGCTTTAATATTTTCCATAAATTGTTATGCAGGCTGCACCAAATCCTGTGTGGTGCTAGTTGTTTACACTCTTCTAAAATACTTACTGCACAGGGGACACCTTGTGGGTCTCTTTCCCATGTGTCAGGCGAGTATGACCTAATAATGGCGTTATTATTATTATTTTTTATCTTGACCCTCTCTATTCCACAGATGGAGACAACCAACACTTTTCATAAAAAGTAGTCTTTATTTTAAAGAAAAAAGTATTGACAAGTTATATATAATGATAGTTATTTAAAAAAAAAGATTACTTTTCAAGAAAATGTGTTTTTGGTTGTCTTCATCTGTGAAATAGAAGGGTCAAGATAAAAATAAATTTTTATAACAACCTAATAGAATAGAATTAGAATAACAATATTATCAAGATAAGATGTTATAGTTTTTATTATTATTACTATTTGCCACTAGGCATTGAGCAGTTCTGGGAATCACTGTGAGGAGTATAGTTGTGTTTTCTCCCACCACTTTGGGACAAAATTAATCTTTTTTTTCTATAATATTTTTCTAACTTTGATGTTAATTAAAAATTAAAGTTTAATTTGAAAAAATAAAGACTATCTAGTTGAGAAAACATAGTTTTGTAACTTCTAACTGTTGTTAAGTTAAATTTAAATCTGTAATAGACTGGTAAGACAGATAAT